AGGACCCGCAACACCTACGCCAAGGCCTTCGCCCTGGTGCAGCAGTTCGCGGCCGGGCGGGGGGCCTCACCGCAGACCATGAAGGAGTGGGGCGCCATCCTCCACGACTACCTTGAGATGGAGTTCTTGGATGGTGCCTCGGCGGCTGTCGGTCGCGTCGCTCTCTACGGCACGGCCTGGTCTCTCGACTTCGTCACGCGCAACCCATCAGTGCTGCCCCTCTCGAAGAAGGCCCTGAGAGGCTTCGCCAGCATCCGCCCCGACACCATGCGCGACCCGCCTCCACTGGAGGCGATATGGTGCCTGGTGGGGCGGCTGCTGCTGGCCAACACCGTGGACTGCGACCTCGCCTCGGCCTTTTGCCTCCTCGCCTTCGACGCCTACCTCAGGCCTTCGGAGGCCCTCGAGCTGACGGCCGCGCAGGTTATCCCGCCGAAGCGTGGCACGGCCAACCGCTCGTGGGCTCTCGTCGTGGCGCCAGAAGGAGGCAAACCTGCCAAGAATAAGCAGTTCGACCAGGGGGTGAAGATCGGAGCCTTCGGGCGATCGTTCGCAGTCGACGTGCTCCAGAAGATGCCCCACCGTGTGCTGCCAGGCACGCTGCTGTTTCGGCACCTCACGCTCGCCAAGCTCGAGGCCATCTTCCGGAAGTATGGTGATGTCGACGGCGTCAAGATCACGCCACACTGCCTGCGGCACGCAGGCCCCTCTCACGACATGCACTACAACGGGGCCTCGCTCGACTTCGTCATGATGCGAGGCCGCTGGTCAGTGGTCAACTCCGTGCGCAGGTGCGGCAAGCCGGCCAAGCTCCTGCGCCAGTTGGCCAAGCTGGAGCGCTCGACCGTCCTCGAGGCGCCGAGCCGCGCCGCCCGGCTCCCGGGGGAGGTGCTGTCGCGCCTCGCGACGCGGCTCTCGGCCTAAATATTATCCTCCTGCCCTCGTCCTCCGTCTTGTGCTCCGCTGTCTTGGGTTGGGCGCCTCCCTGGTGTCCGGCGGATCGACTTTCCTCGGCCCTTGGCGGCCCTGGCTTGTCGATCCTTTGCCGCCCTGCTGGGTCCTCGTTTTGTTGATGCTCCCAGAACACGACTCGCAGATTATCGGCTGTAGGCAGTTTCGGAACGGTTGCACTCGACGGGAATCGTCTCGCTTTTGATGTGGCCCAGTGGGGCCCCAGGTACTTCGCCTCCCGTGGAGGCGCTGGCATGGAATGCCGATCGGGGCAGTAAAAAGGCATTGATTGTTGCTCTGGAGCTTTATCAGTGTCTTCATCGGACCGCAGCTCGCTCTCCTCCTCCTCCTCTCCTCCTCCTCTTCTGGTGAGATTGGCTGGGTCTGCCAGTATCTTTTCTTGAATTTGTCGAGCTGCGGTGCAGTGTCGTGTTCTGGGAACGGTTGCACTCGACGGGAATCGTCTCGCTTTTGATGTGGCCCAGTGGGGCCCCAGGTACTTCGCCTCCCGTGGAGGCGCTGGCATGGAATGCCGATCGGGGCAGTAAAAGGCAATTGATGTATATATGTTATATGTCTTTTTGTATATAACATATTGTATATGTATATTAATATGTATTATATGTATATGTCATACGTATAATGTATATGTATATGTATAGGTATATGTATTGTATATGTATTGTATATTAATGTATAATGTATATGTATATGTCTATGTATATGTATTGTATGTGGCAATATGTCTGTTTTTATATATCTAATGTGTATGTATAGGTATAATGTCATAAGGTATATGTATATGTATATCGTATATGTATATATACAATGTCAAATGTACATGCCTATTTAATAGGTTCGCATATGTAATAATGTATATGTATATGTCTATGTAATGATGTATATGTATATTATATGTAATATGTATATGTATATGTATATGTATGTAAATGTATGTAATGTATGTATATTATATATATATATATATATATATATATATATATATATATATATATATAGATATATGCTGTATCCACCTATGCACATACATAGGTATGCATACATGGAAATGATGAGCTACTTCTGTATATATCTTATTTATACGTACATCTATGTGTATATGTGTGTGTGTCACAAGCGCCTCTCCGAATGAGGCGAGTTCGGAGGCGATAGATTGAAGCCAACCCGTTCGCGATTCATTTGGACGTTTCGGCCGTGATCTCTTCAACATTCTGAACATCGGACGCGCCCCTTACGCAGATCGCGAGAACCACTGCCCAAAGACACGCGGGATTTTCAACATGTTAACATAACACCTTCAATCGCGCAATGTGTTTACATGGTTTTTGACATCGTTCTTAGAACATCAGCCGTTCTGCATGAGATATCCCCCTTCATTGAAGCCCGACGCATTCAAAGTGTTTAACGGCAGTTTCGCGCAAGACACCCTACAACAGTTGGCTTCGGCGCTTTTTTTCAACTGCAATTGCAAGGTGTGGAACACCCTCCTGCGCCACACATATCGCAAGCTGTGGCAACACCACCTGCGTTTGACTGCGATCCGTTGTTGCACCTCCGTCCCAACAGCCCCCTGGTGATGCTTGTTATCCTCCTATCCGTTTTTTACTGCTTCTCCATCTCCTTCCGTCTCCCCTTCGGGTCCGACTTCACATTCCTCTTCTTGTCAGTTTCTTGCGATGCTGACGTGCTGCAATTCTTGTTTTATGAGCCTGGGCACGCGTGTGCCATCGGTATAGGCATAGTGCATGAGACTTTTGCCATGTATATATGCAGACGTAGTCGACGCCCTTCCTTGTGAATGTGGATATGATGATGTTGATGAAGAGGGCGATGACGAGGACGATGATGATGATGATGATGATGATGATGATGAGGATGATGATGATGATGATTCTTATGATGATGATGCTGCTGATGAGGAGGAGGAGGAGGAGGAGGTGGAGGGGCAGGATGAGGATGACAAGGGTAGCGAGGTGGGTGGATGGAGAGAAGGGAGAAGGGTGCGAAGCAGAGAGCTTGATAATCAGCGCTGCCTCCGTTGTTGTTCAACCTTTCTCCTAGGAGGGTGAAGTATTCTTTCTCGGCTTGTTTTCGTGCGTCTACCATCGGCAACACCCCAACATACTTATACTATATGTGCGTCGCCCCCCCAGGGGCGACGCGCGCACCGAGAAATCTTATAGTATATGCGTCGTGGCGGGCGCATTCTGGCCACACCGCTCGGGAAACGATATACTACAAGATGGGTATACTATATGTTCGGGTCGGACGCGCGCGTCCAAGGATGACATATAGTACTAGTACGTCTTTGTGCATCCCATACCACGCTGTCTCTCAGGCACGTCAAGACGTCCTCCACACACTACTGAGAAATGAGCTCGGAAGTAGTAGGTGTAATTATGGGGCTCGTCAAATATTGGATAGGAGAGCAACGAAGCGCCGCACTTAGACCTTGAGGCTCCTGTGGCCTCGGGATAGTGCTTGCAGCTCTAATAGGCTACGCAAGTGGTAGAGAAGCGAATGTAAGTTGGACCGATGAATTCGATACCCAGTCGACATACGTTCAGAGCAGGTACAAGGCTCCCCAGTCAAGCACAGCATCAACGCCAGCCACTCTTTCTTCTTGAGGCGCCCAGAGCCTCACGCAGCGTGAAACAATTGAAGAGGAGACTCAGACTTCATTCTGTTGCGAGTGCTGCAACCTCAGGGCCGCCTACGACCTCATTCGATACGATTCGTTCGCCGGCTGGGGCCGTGATTCCGATTCGAGTCGATTCGATTCCTTTAGGCTCGCTGGCATCGGCCAGGGCAGGCCAGAGCCAGGCGCGGCGATCCGATTTCGATTCGATTCGGGACGATTCGTTGGCGATCCGATTCGTTTCCGATCCGATTCGTTTTCGCGATCCCAATCGGCTCAGGCCTTCTGGACCTGACCTCCTCCCGTATGTGAGCACAGGGTGCTGGCCAGGGACCTCACGTTATTGAAGCCCCTGGTTCCTGTTGCCAGCACTTGACGAGTTGAAGGCATGTCTAACAATTGTGTTGAGGTGCGGCACACGTAGCTGCAGTGATAACGGAGACATTACGCTAGCTGCTGGGCGCGAGGTGTTACTGTAACGCCGCAAGAGTTGACGGCGTGCCTTGGTCCTGTGGGCACTCGGGTCTGAGCGGGCTGTGGGCGAGGATCATCTGGAGCCACGGGGGATACCTTCTGGACTAGGGCCACTCGTGTCAGTGGACGGTTTCTGCCCTCCTTGCCTTCTACCACTCCCCTCCTTTACGGCATCGACCGCAAGGACTCTCCCTCTTCCTCCTGGGCCTGCATCGCTTTTTAGACGTCTCGCGCGCATTTCTCAACACACGAGGCCCAGGCACCTCTCCGCACTGGTGGCTCGTTCATTCGTTCGTTCACTCATCAGTCGCCCGTGTAACCCCCGACGCCAACGTAATCTCTCGCTGCATCCAGCTTGCCGCTCGGGTTTGAAACTTTTAGGTCCCAGATCGCGGCTGGCTTGGCGCTCGCGCCCTGCTTGGAAATCGCGTCTGGCTCACCATTCGGGTCCCAGCTGGGCTCGATGTCGTTTTCGGCCAGATCGCTTGGACGAGATTGCGGGGCGCACGTGTCTTTCGAGAAAGATTTTGGGGTGATCGAGATTCTGCTACCCAGGGTCCTCAGTTTTGGAGTCTTCTTCAGGCACGGTTCCCACGTCGCACCGCGTCGCGCTTGAGCTTCGTCCAGGGGCAACGTTAGGGGGATGACAGGCTCAGGGGGGGATGCATTGACCCTCAATCGCCCATTGATCGCCGATGGGGGCCTGATAGCCCGCCCCGCCCAGGAGCGTGCGGATTCGCAATCGGGGGCCTATTGCCGATCTATCGGCGATGTACTGCCGATTCCATCCGCCTCGATGTTGTCCCCCTGAGCCAGTTTTCCCCCAACGTTCCCCCCTCTCTGAGCTCTGCTCTCTGACACCTTCTCCCCTACATCTGTCCGTTCTCAACCTCCGCCCCAGCGGAGCGCCAACCAGGCGCCTCAGCGCACGGCCCCGGCGACGCCGCCTACCCAGCATGCCAGCGCTGCCAGTGACTCGTTCGGGCCCCAGAGTGGCAGAGGGCTCTTGAAGGGCAGGAGGCCAGTTCAGCAGAAGGCCAGTTGAACGGGAAGATCGGGGAGAGAGATTTGGCGGAATGTTTCCGGGCAAACGGCTCGGGGAAAGGGCCCCGCGGAAGCGGTTCTGGGGACACGATTTGCCAGGGCCGTGTTCGACAGGGAAACGGCCTCCAGGAAAACATATTTGGGGAAACAGCTCTCAGGTAATTGATCTTGTACCCCCCTCGAAGAAATTTGTGATAGAGTCCGTGGGAGTTAGATATGCTGCCATTCGAAGGAAAGTCGTTCAGTTCAGCCAAGTATGAGGTATGTATCTATTTATATAAATGGATACACGGGTGTGCACGGTTACCATATTTCCCCGGCTAAGCGTGTGAATGGAGATAAATGGAAGCGTCAAGAGGCTAAAACGGGAGGGCAGTGGAGACGAATGGGTGAGATGTTCAGTTTGCGCATGGGCGTTCGGTTGTACATGTGTGTGTGTGAGTGGGAGAGCTTCTGTAGCGAAGCGGAGTCCCAGGTCCTTGACGTAGGAGGCGCTGGACGAACGGGAAGAAGCGCCGAACCTCCTGTTCGGGATGGTTTTCTTGACGAATGCCACCTCTTGCAGAGAGACTCGTCTGGACCTCCATCAAGTCTGATCCCTGTCAAGGTTATTTCCCTGCAAAGTGTCGGCGGACGATGACGGCAATGCCATGGCGCCCACCGACGTGTCGCTCTTCAGTAAATACGCGCACGCAACATTCATACATGTGAAGGTTCATACGTCTGTGCACACATTTGTTCGGACATTTGTACATCGACATGCGCACATGGACATGTACACGTATACATATATATATATATATATATAAATGTGCGTCAGTACATGCCTCCTTCATTCCCCAGCACTGTCAGCTGAGGTTCGGGACTATTGACGCCTTCTCCGCTTTCGGCGCGCCGAAGGCGTGGAGTTCGGCAAAAACGGTGTTGACAGGGTCACCCGCTTGGCACGTCGCCGTCTTTGTCGTCTTCCGTGATACCTCAGGTATAGTTGCTGCTGCCTGTGCCGCCGCCACTGCTGTCATCGTTGTCGCCGGCGCCATGACAGCCATCATGGTGATCATCATTACCGGTCTTTCCACTGCCGTTGCTGCCGCTGCGGTTGATGCCTGCTACTGTTGTCGCTGCTGTTTGTTGCAATTCATCACGCTTCGCGTATCCCCACCAGCTTGAGCGCCTGCACGCCCGTTCGTCGTCCTCTTCGGCTGCGTCACGGTGGTCTTCGAGTTCGTCGGCTTTTTGCTCATCGCCATATTGGCGCTGCACGTCGACCTGGAGTCCTTCCTGGTCCTCCGCGTTTTCTGAGCCGCAGCATAGTTCGCTCCTGTGCGCTTGGTGCGTAATTTAGGCCGTTGCATCGTTGCTTCGTTATGACGGCGCGCGGCTGTACCGTTTGCGCTCGCGACCAACAAATGTATCCTCACCAGCCCATTCGGAAACCCTGCGTATGAGAGTTGACGGGAGAAGGGACGAAACTACACATATAGTGAACCAGAGCGGGCCACCAGGGCGAACAGGGAGATCTCTGGGAGCGAGGGGGTGGCCTTAGAGGGCTCTTCGGCCCATCCCTGGGGCCCGCGTGGGGGCGAGGGAAGGAGGAGGAGGAGAAGGAGGAGGAGGAGGAGGAGGAGGAGGAGG